AAGACGACGACGAAGGTAAATCCTGCGTGCTCGTTGATAAAGTGGGCAGTCTAACAGAATGTGGCTGACTGATAATGGAACCTGACAGTTCTCAGAGAGGAGCAGGGCGCCTCTCCATGAGATATCCATGAGTAAGACGAGTATGGCCAATGCGAAGACGGGAGAGAGTAGTCTCCCAACCTTGACACTGGTGACAAGAAGACAGCCAGTAACCTATACTTGGTTTAATAGATTCAAGTTTGTTACCGAGCATAGTAGATCAACGTTGTTGCCAACGGGTGTTAAGGTGGGTAGCTATTGCATCAAAATAGTCCGTAAATGGAATACCTCTATATGAAATTGGTAGGTCATGTACCGCTGACCGCGCAGCAGTGTCTGCCTGTTCATTGCCCTGTACGTCAACATGACCAGGGACCCAACAAAACACAATATCTTTATGCTTGGTAAAGATGCGGCGTAGCCAAAGTTGGATACCGAGGACTAAGGGGTGAGGTGTATCAAATTTCTGTATAGCCTGTAAAGCACTAAGGGAGTCCGAGACAACCACAAATGATGACACTCATAGATGCAATACGGATAAGTGCTGCAAGAATGGCATATGATTCAGCAGTAAAAATACTAGCCGAAGATAGTAAATGCCCTCGTACGACGCTGCCCGGAAACACTGCTGCGAATCCTGCACCGTCAGAAGACTTCGAGCCATCTGTGTACACTGCAATGGCATGAGAATGAGAGTGGAAGTGGTCAAGAAAAAGAGCAGAAAGTGACCGTAGACAGTTGGGCTTTCGAGGAAGGGAGAGAGAAAGAACAGACTAACAGCTGGAACTTCCCAGGGGGGTAGGGAAAAGTGAGATGCTACATGAACATAGAAAGGTGGTAATTGAAGAGAAGACAAGAGCGAATGTAGGCGAAGAGAGAAGGGACGGAGTAAATAGGGGCGGCGAACAAATAAAGAATGTCTACTAATATCAGTGACCATTCTATAAATGGAAGGATTGCGGAGATCATGGGAGCGTATATAGTAGCGAATTCAATGGGCATCACGGCGATCGGATAAGGATGGAACGTTCGCTTCTGCGAAGAGGCTCTCAACAGGGGAAGAGCGAAAAGCACCAATGCATAAACGTAATCCTTGGTGATGAATGGGGCTAAGGCTAAAGAGAGTAGCAGGAGAGGCCGCTGAATAGATCTGGTCACCATAATCAAGTTTTGATAAAACGAGGGTGGAATGTAGGCGAAGGAGAGTTCGACGATCAGCTCTCCATGAAAGATGAGCAAGGGTTTTAAGAAGGTTCAGCCGGCTGTGACAAGTTGCCTTCAGAGAGGTAATGTGAGGTTTCCAGGATAACCTACGGTCAAAGAGGAGGCCCAGAAACCTGACTATCACGTTCAGGGATACGGGAGCCATAGAGGTACAAAGGATGATCAGAGATGACAGAGCGTCTAGTAAAAGTAATTTGGCGAGTTTTGGTACTGGAAAATTTAAACCCATGTGTGGTGGCCCAATTGGAAACACAGTCAACCGCATGCTGGAGAGAAACTGTAATGAGGTGACAGTCAGCGCCTGCACAGGCAATAGCAAAGTCATCAACAGAGTGATGACCAAATATTTGATGGAAGACTAGAGGCCAAATCATTTATAGAAAGGAGAAAAAGTGTTTTGCTCAGAACACATCCCTGGGGGACACCTTCAGCTTGGATAAAATCCGGGGAGAGAACATTATTAACCCAAACATGGAAATTTCTGTCCGTTAAAGAGTTCTTAACCCTTTGACTGTTTCCGACGTATAAATACGTCTTACGAGCCAATGTTTCTGACGTATTTATACGCATAAATTCTAGCAGCTTCAAATCAAGCAGGAGAAAGCTGGTAGGCCCACATGTGAGAGAATGGGTCTCCATGGTCAGTGTGCACCATATAAAAAAAATCGGGGAGCCAGTGGTGCATTGTGGGAATGCCATTTCAGTTGTCCTTTTTCAGCATGTCTAGCGGTAAGAAATATGTGATTCCCTGGCAAATCTGGGACTCTTCTCTTCCCAAGTGATGCTCTAACACAGATGGAAGTGTCAATGAAGATCAATTTCATGATTTGGAGGAGTTTGAGACCAAAAGCAATGGAGGAGGAGGAGGGGAGGAAGAGGAGGAGGAGGAGGAGGGAAGGAAGAGGAGGAGGAGGAGGAGGAGGAGGAGAAGGAGAAGAGGAGGAGGAGGAGGAAGAAGATGTAATAATATTGTTCCCTTGAAGCAAGAAAAAAAAAGTCCACCCCATGACAGTGACAAAGATAAGGGGAGATAACATCTGATAAGAGCTGACTTTGATGAGCATAAAGGAGGGTAATATTACATGACCATCGCCCTCCCTTTGTTTTTGCTGGTACACAAACATTTCTGTCTGTCTATTTGTCTGTCTGTCAAGCTCCCTGTCTGTCCATCTAGCTCTCTGTCTCAGAGAGAGCCACAAAGACTGTGTCATCACCTTTACTCACATCTTCAAGCAGA